ACGAATGAAGAAGACATGGGAGGTACACTGTAGTAACCTAATTAGCAATAGAAAAACAAGAAATCGCACAGGAGAGTCTGCCGCTTCCCCCAGCCGTCTCATTCAATAAACAGAGGAGCCTCCCGCCGTGCTCTGCCCTGCAGCTTGGAGATGACCCAGTCGTTATACTCGGTGACTCGGGTGTACACGCCGGGGAAGTCTGGCTCCGAACACCTGAAGCCGAAGGACACCACGCCGACGAGGTAAGCCCGGTTCTGACGGTAGATGATCATGGGACCGCCGGAATCGCCCTGTGGAAGATGGGTTTGACTTTGACACGTGTATCGAGACAAAAAATAAATAAATAATTAAAAATAAATAGAAAATATATCTTAAAGGGATGAGGTAACTTAGGGGGTTTGGGTTAGTGGCGCTGAGAGTGCATCATTCGAACGGGAAGTTAGGGACAGAAAGTTTGTTTGATATGTTACAGGAAAGCATGGGGTGAACGTTATTTTTCATTATCACATCTACCTTTTTCAATATGGTGTACCGGTCAACAATACACGATTTTGAATTAAGTATCTGGATATTGAAAATTATATCCTTTCATGTTATCCCCGGTTTTCATGGTCACTTTCGTAAGTATTGACAGTTCCATTTTCATCATTATTTGCAATATCGTTCCTGTAGCACGTCCAATCTTAGGAAAGGGAGAACTGGCAACTCACACAAAACCTCGAGTTTTCATTCTAATCAAATGACTCTTATTCCAAGCACATAATTCTTATTCAAAGAATATAAGTTAACTGTATGACTTATTTTAATCACCTGACTTAATAATTGTTCTTGCACGTGTCTGGATTTTTTAAATTCTCGTACAGATATTTGTAATATTTTTATTGAAATTCGCGGCTTGCAAAACCACACAATTATATATTTTTCTCAAGAGGTCGAGTTGAGTTTCCATTTTTTTTTTCCTGAAAGTGGACGGACATTCATCTCAACATTTCAACGTATCTTTGTGCGTCGTTCCTTACCTGACATGCGTCCGTGGTGCCATTGCCGGCGCAGAGGGTTGTACTGTCAATGGAAACTTGTCGGAATACTTCATATTTCTTACGACATGTTGCCTCCTCTACGAGCGGCACTCTAGCCTTCAACAGCACAGATGACGACACGTTATCTGTTGAAGCAGACGATGAGTGGTTAGAGTGATTATCCGTTCGAATCTTTGCTGATTGCTGGATTTTCTTTATTTATTTATCTCTAACTTATTTTTTTCTCTCTATTAGCATCTCTATGTGTGTGATTTTGTTCATTTGAGAATGTGGGGATGCTTTCCACTAATATCAGATACCAGTCGGTGAACAAGAGTCCGAACTGTTTCACTCACTGAACGAGACCGATCCCCAGCCGGCGATGATGCCGTCGTTGACCTTCAGGTTACTCTGGAGGAGTTCGTCGATCAGAGGCATGCAGACGGGGCTCACGTATTCTGGGGTCGAGTGGAGGGGTTAGCCTTGTTTACTTTTTGTTCAAACGTTTATTCTCATCCTCTCATATATATATACACACACGTGTGTGTATGTGTGTGGTGTTACACGCGCACGCACACATATATATATACACACGTGTACATGTGTGTACATATATATGTAGATATATATAAATATATGTACACACACACACACACACACACACACACACACACACACACACACACATTATATATATATATATATATATATATATATATATATATATATATATATATATATATATATATATATGTATGTATATATACACAGACAACACATATAATATTATATTTCATTTAGAACCTAATGTGACTCACAGTATCATTTCATTTGTATTTTACTCTTTATAGTCACCATAAGAAACGAAATCTCGCGTAACAAGGAAAAAGTCCACATTTCTGTTCGTTACAAGTCATTTCCACACGTACTGCCAAAGGTGACCGGCCGGTTGAGCTTGAGGACGGCGATGTCGTTCGCGAAGGACACGGTGTTGAACTTTTCGTGGACCATCTTCTCGGCGATCTCGAAGTCCATGTGCTCGACCTCGTCTTCCCTGTCGAGGTCGTGCTCGCCCAGGCGCACGACCGCCCTGGGGAAGGATGGGTGGTTGTTTCACTGGGCAGTATGGGCGGCTTTGTTCAGTTTGTAACACTCTGTCTCTTTTTCTTCTAATTATTATTCTCCTTCTATGTCGTTCTCTCTGTCTCTCTTTCTCTCTCTCTCTCTCTCTCTCTCTCTCTCTCTCTCTCTCTCTCTCTCTCTCTCTCTCTCTCTCTCTCTCTCTCTCTCTCTCTCTCTCTCTCTCTCTCTCTCTCTCTCTCTCTCTCTCTCTCTCTCTCTCTCTCTCTCTCTCTCTCTCTCTCTCTCTTCTCTCTCTCTCTTCTCTCTCTTTCTCTTTCTCTTTCTCTTCTCCCTCCTCCCTCCCCTCCTCCCTCCCTCCCTCCTTCCCTCCCTCTCTCTGAAGGAAAGCGCTTCCATGACAGATACATTAAGGCCTGACATTAAGGATCCAAAGTCAGTCTAAAGATGTCCAGATCCTCAAATTTAAGCATAGTATTGGATGTACACAGAATCCTGCTGAGGTCTGCATTGTTATGTCCTTTGGAAATAACAAATCTCAGATTAAATTCACTCCAATCGATAATGCAGTGAAGGTTTATCAGTACAAAGACCTTCAAAACACCGGTTCTAAACCTCACATCGACAACATACGCATTCCCAAGGTGACCCGCATATCCCATGACCCTCGAGAAGAACCCACAAACACTTACAGATCACTTCGGTCGTGAATGCAGTGAGCCGCTGTCACCACATGCTGGTTGGTGATGAGAGCTCCGCCGCAGAGGAAGCTCACCTGACCCCGTCCATCCTCGTAGCCTAGAACAGCCATCCACGGGAACTCGCCTGTGGGTCAACGGTGGGTAATGGTGACTCCAAGGTAGGATAAAAGTGGGTGTTGGTGGAGGAAAGTAGGCTTATTTGTGATATCAGTTCCCTAAATTACTCTATTATAGTTTCCATTATGTGTGCCACTCAGGAGATGGGTTTTATGCCGGTGGAATGCCCCTGTTAATGGCTTGTTAAAAACAGGTGGTAAACATTATTTAATCCTACCTTCAGCGGCCTTCTTGCCTTGCACGATCCTGAGGACGAAGTCGGGTCTGCCACATTCCTCAGGAAGGAGATCTTCTCCTGTGAGGACTGGGGGCGCTGTGGGTTCTGTAGGAAGGAGGGACAAAGTAAGAGTGAAAGCAATACTTTCCTTCGGCAAAAATGGGAACACGAAAAAAACTGGTGCAATATCTATACTAGTTATGGTGATGAGCATGAGAAGCAAAACACTTGAATAGTGAATTGGCAGAGCTCAAGCGGGGAGCTTTTCGTCGGCATAGCAACGGCAAAACTCACGCGCAGTGGTTGGTTCGGTACTAGGCGTTGTGCTAGGAGTAGTACTAGGCGTTGTGCTAGGGGTAGTGCTAGGCGTGGTGCTAGGAGTGGTACTGGGTGTCGTACTGGGCGTGGTGCTAGGAGTGGTGCTGGGCGTGGTGCTGGGAGTCGTACTGGGGGTGGTGATGACCGGCGCCTCGGTGGACACGACGGCCGAGCTTTCCGGGCAGCAGACGATGGGCGAGGACTTCTCGAAGCGGCAAATGCTCCTGAAACGCAGAGGGCGCAATGCAGCTCATGGACGGGAAAAAAGAGATAACCTTCCCCCAAAACAATCACAATAAAACCAATTATAACGACGATGGCAAGGCCGTACTTTAGACAAGACAAAAAATGCAACATGTATGGATTAAAAAAAAAAAGAATAACAAACATGTACGTACTGTCTCAAAAGATTGATAAATTCAATCGGCGGATTGTTCCTCAGCTGATCGTAGAGGACAGAACAGCTAACTAACGGTTTGCAGTTGCCATTCAGCCCGAGCGGCGTGGTGCAGGCGGACGGGTCTTCGGTCCCCAGCTGGAAGGTGATGGCTGTGGGAGAGAAGCGGGAGTGAGTAACGAACGGATGTATACTAGGATATAACGAAATAAGTATGTTTCTTGTATGATATGACGACCAGTGAGGTTTATTTCGCCTAATAATAAAAACCAAAGAGGTACAGGTCTCGTAGAATTTAATGTTTCAAAGAATGACAAGCATCGTAGATTTTTATAACGTTTATTCTTCACGGGATATGAATAAGAAAGAGGAGAATGTTGAATAGATTTTTTTTTATTCTGTCAGTGTATTCATGATATAGAATGATACCTTGGCGGGTGTTTGCAATATGAATTAGGAAAATTGCTGTTTTCACGATGCCAATTTTTTGTTGTTTCTGAAGTTAATGAAGGAATCAGTTTTGATTTCCTTCCCATAATATTTGATTATTCAACCACTTTAGTCATTCATAGTTTTTTTCTGGATTATGTTTTATTTACTTCTATTAGCATATCTATTATAGTTTTCTATGATCAGTGTCACCCAGTTGGTTCCTGTTATTACTGGCGTGTTAAAACAGAATTCATTATTTTAATTCATTTTATTTATTAGCAGCAACACTAATAACTGCTTCTGTCTAATTACTATCCTTGTTTGTGATAATCATTACCATGCTTCTGTTGCGAACACTAATGTTTTAGTAAAAGCAGCGTAAAGGTATAGAGTAGAGGTAAGAAAATATATTGTTTAATGTCTTGGAAATGTGTTGTTATTCAACGAATGTAACGAACCATAAGAGGCAGAATAGTAAACCATGCACATTAACCATTATTTTTTTAAGCGTAGACACAAACCTCTCTCTTGTTTCTTTATGCCCGTCACTTCATTCCCATGTCGAGGTCAAAGAAAGAAAACACGCGTCTGAAGAGTTAAAAGAGGAGGGGCATCCCGTAGATTTCTGCGTGCATCTTACGCTATTCTCTCTCTCTCTCTCTTCTCTCTCTCTCTCTCTCTCTCTCTCTCTTCTCTCTCTCTCTCTCTCTCTCTCTCTCTCTCTCTCTCTCTCTCTCTCTCACCTCACTCTCTCTTCTCTCTCTCTCTCATACACACCTACACTCTCTCTCTCTTCTTTCTCTCTCTCTCTATCTATCTATCTCTCATACACACCCACACACACTCTCTCTCTCTCTCTCTCTCTCTCTCTCTCTCTCTCTCTCTCTCTCTCTCTCTCTCTCTCTCTCTCTCTCTCTCTCTCTCTCTCTCTCTCTCTCTCTCTCTCTCTCTCTCTCTCTCTCTCTCTCTCTCTCTCTCTCTCTCTCTCTCTCTCTTTCTCATACACACCTGTACTCTCTCTCTCTCTATTTCCTTCTCTCCCTCCTTCCCTCCCCTCTTATTTCCCGTCCGTCTCCCCCCCTCCCCTCCCTGAAGACCCAGTCGAGAGCGGAATCGAAGACTCGAAGCCAAACGGAACCTCGGGACTCGCGTTGGTACTCACTCTCGTTGTCGTTACCTTGCCTTCTGTGCCGGGAGAGCGTGGCTGCGCCCTTGGCCGAGCCCGGGAAGGCCAGCAGCGCCAGTCCGAGCGCCGCCGTCAGGAGGATCACGGCCTTCCTCCGCGTCGAAGTCCCCGCCATGAGCATCGTCAGGGAGGTCTGGAATTTGGGAAGGGAGAAGGTTAGTTTGGTCTCTTCGTTTCTCTCTCTCTCTGTGTAGGGCAGTGGTGAACGTGCTGGTCTTGCTGACCTGCGCTCGATCCTGCGCCCTACCAGTGAGTGGTGACCCGGCTAATCTTGTACACAGGCAAAATAAAACAGAAAGCATGTCACAGCAATGGATATTCATTGTAACAAATGGAATTGAAATTAAATCTTTCTTTTAAAGAATCTTAATCTCTCTCTCTCTCTCTCTCTCTCTCTCTCTCTCTCTCTCTCTCCTCTCTTGTGTGTGTGGGGGGGGGGGAGTCGTAGAAAGGAGTGTGTGATGTATGAGGTTTTACGTGAGTAGTTGAGAAATGATGAGTGATTATGTTACCTAAATCAGCGTGGATTTCAGATTTTTAATGATCATTCACTTCTTTACATTTCAGTCAGACTTCGTAGTTTGAATAGATACGATCTTTTCTCCCACTGTTATAATATGTAGACATAAAAAAACAAGAAAATGAAAGCAAATCTAAAACTAGAGACAATCAGAGAGCGCATACCTCCAACAAGGCAATATGTTCACTCATTCGGTAAAAATAGACGAAGAAATCAATCAAAAAATCCTGGCTCCGGAACATGACCCGGATCACCACCAAGACACAACGCTGGCAAAAATCTCCTAAAGATCTGTTCATAGCTTTTTGAGTTATAAGTCCCCATGCAACAGCAAATAATGGCATCTAAGTTGAGCAAAGACATAATGTTGGTAAAAATCTCCTAAAAAATCTGTTCATAGCTTTTTGAGTTATCCTGCTAAGCAAGCAACCAACACGTAATGGCATCTAAGTTGAGCAAAGACATAATGTTGGTAAAAATCTCCTAAAAAATCTGTTCATAGCTTTTTGAGTTATCCTGCTAACCAAACGAACAATCAAAATTTTTCCATCATCCGGATCACCACCAATATTTAATGGCATCAAATTCGGGCCAAGAGACACCTCTGGTAAAATATGAAAATCTGTTCATATTTTTGAATTATGAACTAACCGACACAACCAAAAACATAACCATCTTGAGTTAATAACATGATAATAAAGTTAATAACATGATAATAAAGTTAATATGAAAATAAAGCTAAACATGAAAATAAAGTTAAACATGAAAATAAAGTTAATAACATGAAAATAAAGTTAATAACATGAAAATAAAGTTAATAACATGATAAAGTTAATAACATAATAGTGGTGTTAAAAGCGATAATTACAAAAAAAGGAAAATAATAAAATACACAAAAAAATAATAGGAAAAAGATAAAACAGAGGAAATAGAAGGAAATCATAGAAAAAATAGAATAGACTCGCGGTGTGGCCTTCCAAAAAGCGTTCCTGCGGCGACTGGGAAAATCCGGTCGCGTTCCGTTGCCTTTGTGATAACTTGATTACCTGGGAACAGTCGCCGGTTATTCTGTCGACTTTTTTTCTATTTATTCCTTTTCGTCTGTTATTTCTGGTTATTCTGTCGACTTTTTTCTATTTATTCCTTTTCGTCTTTTATTGCCGGTTATTCTGCCGATTTTTTATTCTTTATTCTTATGCGATTTCTTCTTTTGCGTCTTTTATTGCTGGTTATTCTGTCGAGTTTTTGAAAACTTATTTATTCTTTTGTGACCTTTATTCCTGGTAATTCTGTCGGCTTTTTAAAAAAGATATATTTATTTTTTTGTGAATTTTATTCCTGGTTATTCTGTCGACTTTTTAAAAAATTATATATTCTTTTGCGACTATTGCTGGTTATTCTGTCCACTTTTTTTTATTATTCTTTTGTGTCTTTTACATTGCCGGTTCTTCTGTCTACTTTTTTTCTTCATTCTTTCGCGACTTTTATTACTGGTTATTCTGTCGACTTTTATTTATTCATTCTTTTGCGACTTTTATTGCCGGTTATTCTGTCGACTTTTTTCTCTTTCTTCTTTTGCAACTTTTATCTGACTTTAGAAGACGCATATTCTTTCTTTCCAGGAAGGGCTTTTATCACTAAAAACATCAGAGGACTGTATAGATAAAGAACTACATGCATTTTGCAAACAAAGAGACGAAGACCTATTGTTGGGTACGGCGGGTGTGTGACTGGATGTCCGTCTGAGACATTTAGGTACGCGTAAATACTTGACAAACATCTATACTTCCTGGACCGCGGGGTATGGTGGTCTAAGTCAGGATGGGGAACCTCGTTTGGCGCCAATTATGAATATTCAAGATTTCTTTCTCTCTCTCTTTCGCTTGGTCTCTTTCTCGATTTCTCGATTTCTCTCTCTTTCGCTATCTCTGTCTCTCTGTCTCTCTGTCTCTCTGTCTTCTCTCTCTCTCTCTCTCTGTCTCTCTCTCTCTCTTTCTCTCTCTCTCTCTCTCTCTCTCTCTCTCTCTCTCTCTCTCTCTCTCTCTCTCTCTGCTCTCTCTCTCTCCTCTCTCTCTCTCTCTTCTCTCTCTCTCTCTCTCTCTCTCTTCTCTCTCTCTCTCTCTCTCTCTTCTCTCTCTCTCTCTCTTCTCTCTCTCTCTCTCTCTCTCTCTCTCTCTCTTCTCTCTCTCTCTCTCTCTCTCTCTCTCTCTCTCTCTCTCTCTCTCTCTCTCTCTCTCTCTCTCTCTCTCTCTCTCTCTCTCTCTCTCTCTCTCTCTCTCTCTCTCTCTCTCTCTCTCTCTCTCTCTCTCTCTCTCTCTCTCTCTCTCTCTCTCTCTCTCTCTCTCTCTCTCTCTCTCTCTCTCTCCTCCCTCTCTCTCTCTCTCTCTCTCTCTTCTCCTCTCTCTCTCTCTCTCTCTCCTCTCTCTCCCTCCTTCTCTCTCTCCCTCTCTCTCTCTCCCTCTCTCTCTCTCTCTCTCTCTCTCTTCTCTCCTCTCTCTCTCTCTCTCTCTCTCTCTCTCCTCTCTCTCAGGAACACGCAATTTCTCAAGGAAGTCGACGTTTTTCGAGTGGCTTTGTCGTCGTGATACCTGGGGGTTTGGCTGCTGAGGTGTGCGAAAGTGTTCACTCACCCTTTGCTTAGTATGGACACGCGCGACTCACTTCCATATGTACGGACATATATACATACTCGCATTGGTAAATATTAGTGTATATTATCTCTCTCTCTCTTTCTACATATATGTATCTCTCTCGTATATTATCTAATATCTCATCTATATTATATATATATATATATATATATAATATATATATATATATATATATATATATGTATGTATGTATGTATGTATGTATATGTATATATATGAACAAATGTATATTCCCATATTTCGGATCTCTATCGAGCACCTGAGCCCCCCCCCCCCCCCCCCGCCCAGTGAGATGCGAAATCAGCAGCGAAGGTTTCCTTTTCGCCAAAAAGTACACGGCGCTGAAGGGCGGTAATCGCGTGTGTTATCCTCTGTGACCAAGAACTCTGCTGATCTGTCACACCAGAACGTAATTTATGTTCGTTTTTTTTTTTATCCGTTACTTCCCCTTTCCCCTTTTTTCGTGGGGATTTATGAACATTGTTTTAAGGGGATGTAGCTTGTGTTGATTTGTACTGAAGGTATAAGGTTTGTGTTTTAGTCCAAAGGCTAAAAAAATGTGTTATATTAATATGCCTGTTGATTTACAATTGTTTTCCCTACCATTTCTCTCTCTTTCCTCTGACTCTCGCCCCCCCCTCTCTCTCTTTCTCTCTCTCTCTATCTATCTATCAAACTCTCTCTCGCTCTCTCCTTCTCTTTCTCTTCCTCTCTTAGTCTCTCTCTATCTATCTATCTATCTCTCAATCTCTCTCTCTTTCTCTCTCTATTCTATCTATCTTTTCCTCTCCTCTCCTTCTCTCTTCTCTCCCTCCCATCCTCCTACCTCCCTCTCCCCCTCTCTCCCTCTCTTTCCCTCTCTCCCCTCCCTCTCCTCTCCTTCTCCTCTCTCTTCTCTTTCCCTCCCCTCACCCTCCCCACCCTCCCTCCTCTCTCTTCTCTTCCCTCTCCTCTCTCTCTCTCTCATTTCCTCCCTCCCTTTTCTCCTCTCCTCTCCTCTCTCTTCTCTCTCTCTTCACTCCTTCCCTCTTTCTCCTCTCCTTTCTCTCTCTCTCCCTCCCTCTCTTCTCCCTTTCCTCTCCTTTCTTCTCTCCCTCCCTCCCTCTCTTCCTCCTCTCCTCTCTCTCTCTCTCTCCTCCCCCTTCCCTCCTCGTCCCCTCCTTCCTTCTCTCTTCCTCCCTCCCTCCCCTTCCCTCTCCCTCCCTCTCTTCCCTCTCTTCTCCTTCATCCCTCTCCCTCACCCCCCCTCTCTCCTTCTCCTATCCTGCCCCACCTCCTCTTCCTCTTCTTACCTCCTCTCTCTCTTCTCCTCTCCTCTCATCTCTATCCCTCCCTCCCTCCCCCTCCCACCCTACCTCCTCTCTTCTCTCTCCTCTCCCTCTCCTCCATCCTTTTCCCTCCCTCCCTCCCACCCACCTCCTCTCTCTTCTCTTCTCCTCTCCTCTTCATCTTCTCTCTCTTCTCTCCCTCCCTCCCTCCCTCCCTCCCACCCTACCTCCCTCTCTTCTCTTCTCCTCTCCTCTCATCTCCATCCCTCCCTCCCTCCACCCTACCTCCCTCTCTTCTCTTCTCCTCTCCTCTCCTCTCCTCTTTCTTCTTTCCCTCCCTCCCTCCTACCTCCCTCTCTCTCTCCTCTCCTCTCCCCCCAAAGGCAAGACCATGCAACCACATCCTTGACTCACGGTCGATCGAGTGGCGCGACATCCGGCCGCTTCCTCTCCCGCGATGTCCCTCATCCGGATCGCTCACGCAAGGCCCCGGATGAGTGGCTATGGTGGGGGGAGGAGAGGGAGGGAGATGGGGGAGAGGGAAGGAGAGGAGCGATGGAGGGAAGGAGGGAGAGGAGACGGAGATGGGGGTGAGGGAGAGAGAGAGGGAAAGAGGGAGAGAGAGAGAGAGAGTAAGACAAAAAGGAAAAAGGAGAAGAATAACAGAGAGAGGGACAGAAGAGTAAATGAAACG